ATCTCAAAGGTTTTTTTCTGTGCTTTTTAACCTTTCCTTAGGATAAAATAAAAAGTCGATGGCGACTCTTGCTAAACCGAAACATTTGCGAATACAAACGTAAAACCTCAAGTCAGTTCTCCCACCATATCACAGTGGCCCATTTCTCCTTTGCTGCCCTTACGCCCTGTATGTGTTCTGCAACCTTTTTGTCGAAGATGGAGCTGCATCTTGGACACAGCATGACTTCAGACTTCTTTTTTTGGCATCGTTGCAGAAAATCTTCCAGATTCTCATTCTCTTTAGGAAATGCAGTTTTATTCACTTCCTCTTGTCTGATGGCCTCTTCTGAAGCCTTTTCCTCAGATACTTCGACCATATTAACTTCTACGTTGCTCTTGGCAGCAAGATTAATCTTTTGCATTTTGGCTTCAAGGTCCTCTGTCGAACCCTTGACGGAAGCCAAGTAAGAACCTGCAGTAGTCCTTTTGTTTGAGTCTTCAGTAGCTCCTTTGCTTAGGCCTTAAGTAGCCTCTTTTCTTAGGCCTTAAGTATCCCTTCTCACCCCTTTGACAGTCTTTCTGGAGATGTTCTCAGTGCCAAAAACTGGCTTATTGACGAAGTCTTTAGAAACTTCGACCATGTTGATGCCTGCTGGTTCAGCATTGTGGGCATCAGCTCGCAATGGGTTTGTATCGATTTTCATTTGAGGTTTGTCAAAAAATTTGAGTCTTCCTTCTTTGATCGCTCCTTAAACAAGATCCCTCAAAAGAATACATTGTGAAGTTTTATGGCCCAAAAAATTATTATATTTACAAAAACCTCTTTTCTTTCCTTGTTCTAGGGGAGGAATTTTTGCCCATGGAGGTACTATCATTTGGCTATCTTTAACTAACAAGTCAAATATCTCGTCACATTTTGTGACGTCAAAACTATATGTTTTCTTTGGGAATCTATCACTGTTCTTTTCAGACTCAGTAGGATTCTTCCCATCTTAGGGCACTACAAATCTACAAGAGTATGGTGGCCCTTGCTTTAAATCTTCTAAATCTATTTCTCTTTCTTCGACAGATATAGGATCACTAGATGTCTCTGGATCGTCATCATCCATTCGACATAATCTACCCTTTCTCTTCGATGAGTCTTAGTTGCTTTAGCTTTTTCAATTTTAAGATGTTCTACCTGTCAAACTCTATCGGCCAATTGGGCCATATCCCTCAGGTATTGGGTATCTAATTTTTTTCCCTAATAGAATAATCTAGGCCCCCTGCTGCCATTTCGACCGATTCATGCTCAGGAACTTGTGTAAAGCATATGGCTTTGAGCAGTCGAAATCTATTTAGATATTCATCTATTGGCTCGGTGAATCTCCTTTTCACGCTAGCCAGTTCTTCCAGACTTATTTTGGTTTGTCCCATGTAAAATTGTTCATGGAATAATCTCTCCAATTGATTCCAATTGTGGATCGAATTGGCTGGGAGGGTGGTAAACCAAGTTGAAACAACCGACTGAAAATCATCAAACAATGAAGTCGCCATCGAACGTTTTTTTATCCCACAGAAAGGGAAAGGTAAACATCAAGAAAACCTGAGAAGGGAGAAGTCACGGTCTTGCAACTGAGAGATAAGGGTAAGGGAGTCTGTTACGCGAGGGGAAGGTATTAGCACCCCGCACGCCCGTAGTACTCTACGGTATCCAATCTTGTTATCTATCTTATGGGTGTGTTTAATCTATGCTTATTGTCTACTACTGCTAAAGGGAGAATGCATGCAAAAGAAATGAGAAAAGAATGTAGGGAAAATAAAATTGTGCTCGTTCGGGCCCTACCCCAATGCCTACGTATCCCTTTTAAGGAATCAGAGCAGCTGTAGTTCGGCTCATAGGTTTTTGTTGGTTTGTATTTTTTAATGAACAATATTAATTTCGTCTTCTACCGCAACTCGACCTTTGCAGACTTACGCGTCAGCATAGAAGTGAATTAACATGCTCTTTTGAAAAAGTTTGGAGAAAATGTGTTTGGGCGCACAAAAAGGTTTGAACTGGTTTGTGTTTTTGATGTTTTTGCCTGTGGATAATAACTAGTTAATCTCAAGAGAGAGATTTTAGCCATTTCTCTATTTATTCGTGAAATGAGTCTTTGAGACTTGAACCATGCCAAGGCTTAGAATGGAAAAACGATAAGATCGAGAAGAGACCCGCTTATCATCTCCCATGTTCAACAAAGGCACGATTCTCATCAGTAAATTTTAAGTATTTTTGAAGTTTGTAAGAAAAAGAAGTTTTTGTTTCAAATGCATATGCGAAAAGAGAAAGAAAAAGTCAAAGGGAGACTAGCCTATTTCTAAGCCTAATGTTATCATACTTCACACAATCTATAAGAATCGATAAATGCGGGGTGAACGTAGAAAGAAAATATACCAAACGAGTACTAGCCCGTAGAGCAAAGCAAAAAGCAAAGAAACCCGATGATCTCGTGAGCTGCTAGCATTAATAAATAAAAGAGTTAGAAATCAAATGCCCGGAATAAGTTTCGACGCATCATGGTTTGAGAAAATGAATCACAGTCAAAGTCTCAAGCACATCCGCATAATAAACCTGCATAAGGCTCAAATCTCGAAAGGAAAAGGTAAATTACAAATCTCACATAATTGGATAATCCAGATTTAATTCCTAAAAATATCTCTTAAAACCTAACACTTTCATTGATGTCTTTTCGTTACAATTTTTTTTATTAACACATCTAACAATTATGAAAAGAAAACTCTAAAGAAAAACTAAAAACTACACAGGGGTGTTATCCTGAAACAAAGGGGGTATGCAGAAGCAGTATGGGCTAGGCCCATTTGCAGAAGTGATCAATGAAGAGTATTTTTGTTTGCAGCAATAATGTTATGCAAGAAAAACACACACAGGCCTTACGATTTCGGCCCAATCCGTCAACAAGCCCCTCTCAACACTTTTTGTTATTGTTAAAAAAACAAAAATGAAAGCAACAATATGGATACGATGCCGTTTAGGAATTATTAGGGTTCAAGAAAATTCCTATTGAACTTCTATTGCACAAAATCCTCTCTTCTTCTTCCTGGCGCCGTGGAACCTCAACCTTTCCGTTCACCTCCTTTTCACTCCACCACCTCAACATCACAGATCAAGACTGCTTTCACCTCTCATATTTGTTTCATTCACTCAAGCCTCTGTCTCATCAGTTCATTCTCAGCTCTCACATTTCAAGCTTCGATTCAAACAAACAAAGAAACAATGCGAAAAGGAAAGTACCGAGGCTTACCTACTGGGTATCTGTCAGGTGCATCTTCAATGACTCAGGTATGTGTTTGATATTCAAATATTTTTCTGATCTTCGCTCTTTCTGGTTTCTTCTTTACTTCTGAATTCTCTATTTATGTGTATTGCGGTTGATTTGTACAGTGATATGGTGCGTTTGGTTGTTGTTGACGATGCGGCGTGTTGATGTAAGCAAATAAATTGTTATTGTTGAAGCAGTGGAAGAGTGAAGTGGTTGCAGATTATTAAAGCTTTGAGAGATGATGATGCAGAAATCTCGACGAAGAAGGTTGGAGATGTCAGAGAGGGAGAGCTGGAAAAGTGATTTCTGAGACTCGTGGAAAATGGCGGGTTTTTCTCTGAAAAAAATTGAGAGCGTAAAGCTGAGTTATATAGCCGTTGAAGCTTGAAGGTAGTTAGATTAAGGAGAATTGAGAGCCCTTGGATCTGAAGGAGTTTGTTATGGAATGGAAGGTGGGGATTAAATCCGTTAAAGTCTGTTATGAGGTTAGTTTTTCTATTATATCACTGTTAGAGTTTGTTATGAGTGAGTAGATCCCAACCCTAGGATCTTGGGAATTATGTTAAGAGAAATAGGTGGTGTGGATTAATCTAAGAAAAGTTAGTTAGAAATAGGGAGGATAGAAATTGGATTGTTATTCTGTTAGGTTTTAGTTTGAACTGTTATAAAAGTTAGTTGGAAATTGGTTAAGTTGTTGGGGAAATTAGAGGAATTGGTCACTTGCTACTGTTACTTAGAAGTAGTAAGTGAAGATAGGAACTGTTAGGTTAATAGTTAGTATGGGTAGTCTGTTAGTAGTTAGTTACTCTTTCTGTTAGTTGGTTTTTGATAGTTATAAAATTATGTTTTTTTGATTTAGTTAAATGTTGGTTATCATGGCTTTTTCATTAGTTTATTATGCCGGTTAAAAAATGAAAAAGTTGGAAACAGTTAGAAATTGGTTGAAAGAGGTTTTATTGAATCGCTAGTTCTGTTTTTTCTCATTGAACAAATGCGACTGAACCAATATATTCCTCTTATGATTTTCTCTGCTTTTCTGTTAGTGAATGCAACTTAGTCATTGACCTTCTTCTCTTTTTCGTTGTTTTTTCTGATTTCTGGTATAAAATAAATGCAGGGATGATTTGCAGTTGAGTTTTCCAAAATTGAGGACTATTGAACTATGTTTATGAACATAGCAGGGTTGTCGTCTTTGGGTTCAGATTCAGTGCAGACCTGGAATATTTTTGGCATGACTTCAGCGATCGTATGCAGAACCGGTTGAGTTTGAAATAGGGCAGCAAGGTATTTTGAAGATGGCTCAGAATTGGAGTCGAGGAAATTTGAGAAGATGACACGAGAAGTTTAACTAAAGCAAAGCAATTTGGAATTTGAACTATTATACAGCTCTCCTCGGAATGAAGAATGGTTTCCACTCTGCAAGACAGGCTGCTTCAAAGTCAGTTATGGAGCCATCCATTGGGACTTTTGTAAACTGTGATCTAATATAGATGCTGTAGTGTTGTATTCATGAGTGTCCTCTCCTGCATAATGACGCACAATGAAGGATTTTTCTCGTTCTCCTTTGAAGCATGAATTAGAAATGAAATGATGTTTTAAGCTTGTTGGAAAATGTTAAATCAGTACCATTTGGAAAAGTAGACTCTTCATCTAACAAGGATAGTAGCCCCAATGGTTTCTTTTCAAAAAGATTAAGGCAGTCTTGGTTGTCTTCAAATTAAACTTTAGCCCAATCAATTCCATCTTGGATATGTTCCTCTTGTTCTAGCTTGAACAAATGACGATTGAAGTGTTGCTGTAATCTTTCATTTGCATAATTTATGCAGAACTGCTCAAAACTGTTCCTATTGAATGACTCAAAGCCATATATATCTAGAATACTGATAGATCTTCCAGTTCTTCTTTTGCCAACAACTAGTGATTTGTTTATTTGTTCGATCAGCCAATCAAACAAACATGCATAAATAGACTTCGCCAAAGCATCTCTTGCATCACTAGCCTGAGATAGCGTCAACTTCTGGACAATAATATCATTAACAACTTTCATTTTGCGAGTTGATAAAGTCAACTTCAGATCTTCAATTTCACATCCAATCAACTTGGCAGTGCTGAACATCCCCTCATCCTCAACGGCTTGAATATGATTTTCATTATCGATCGCAGTAAATGATATGTTTCCCAACCATAACACTGCAGCAAGCATTGCAAATACATTCTCCCGGTCTCCTTTGCTAATGTGGACAACCTCTAGAGCATCCATGACTATACGAAAATCTTCTGCATCATCAACGCCAGTAATTGAATAACAATTGCTATGCCTCAGATATTTATAGTCTTCCACACTTTGTAGATTTAGATTCTCCCTGAGAGATGGTGGTGCTCCAGCACATAGCTGATAAAATATATGATATGACCTTTCCCCTTCATTGCATTAGACTACTCTAGACTTTTCCAACAAAAATGTTTGAATATTAGCACCCGATATTTTTCTTGTTTCACTGAAGTGAATCTTAATGAGTTTTCCAAAACGACTTGAGTTGTCATTTCTCAATGTTTTTCCATTTCCAAAGGCTTCCAGTATTGGATTAGTCTTTAATATTTCATGCTCTATTCCACTTCCACCACCAAGGGCAGCCAGGTATTGCATTGCTATTTTTGCTGTCTCAGTCTTCCCTGCTCCAGGCCAACTTCCAATACAAGCGATCAAACAATTGAGAACGATAATGCCCTTGATCATAATGAATTCACAACACCCTCCTTATATCATGCCTTATCATCCCATGAACCTCTATTGAAGATGTTGATAAACCCAACTATGATAGGATATAAGTCCTAAACTTCCACACAAAGCTTTTAGATTTTGATGTTATAAGTATTGAAATGAAATCTGAAGAAAAAAGGTTATATCGCAAGTGAGCCAATCGACCAGATGAAGAGCTTTACATTATAAGGCATACGAGCCCTAATTCGTGAAGAAGGTACAACTGAATCTTCTTTTCTAGAATAGAGTTGTTGCCCACATGACTAGAGACTCAAGCAATGATTTCTGTTGTACCCCAAAATTTGCCCTCGCATCTTACCACAAGAAATCGTAGCTTCAGGCATTTCCTGACTTTTCAAACTGGTTCAAGAATCGGATAAACGGACTTTTCTCACCAGTCAAACAAAAATTAGGGTTTCACTGATTTTTCAGGGCTCTGGATTTCTCACACAGTTGGCCTTAGGTTTTTGGTTGATTTTGGCTCAATTTTGGTCAGGCGAACGTTATTTGGCATTTAATCAGGAATTAAGGGTTTTATGGGTATATTCTCAGAAAGGTTAAAATTCCACAGCACTTTGCAAGTTATTCCAAGATTCGGTTTGAATTCGCATTGTTTGGATTTAATCAGTAGAAGAGGCAGTTGGTTTGAATTCATGTTGTTTTGTTTGAACCAGTCAAAAGAAGTACGCAGTTTGGATTTACAGTGTTTGTTGAAAATCAGTGAAGAGGGAATGCGCCTGTTTGGTTTGTTTCGGTTAACTGTTACTTTACTGTGAATATTGGAGAAGCCAGGTTTAATTGATCAATGTGCTAAAGTATTGTTTATTTAAATTATTTATTATTCTAAATTAAGTGATTGAAATTTATTTTTCAATCATTTTAGTTCAAAGAGTTTTAAATAAATAAATAAACAATAAAGAAAGAGGAAATAGAATTGGTTGGATAATAAAGACTTTTATTGATATTTGAATTATTTGTACAATTATTGTTATAATTTAATTACAAACAATGGTTTACATTAATTCAAATATTAAATAAAAAGAAAAAAAAACTATCCTATTTATTTCTAATTCTTCATGCTTCACTTTATTCCTCTCCATCCAATTTTTTCACCTGCAAAAGAAAAGAGAAAGTCAAAAAGCAGATAAAATAAATACAGATAAAATAAATTCATCATTAAGGGCCACTGATTGGGATCAGTTAACCCTCCCTGCAAATCACGGGATTTCTCCCGGTTCACAAAGAGGGAAGAATTTTATTCATTTAATCATGAATGCAAAATGTCAAAGTGCATAAATTCAAAATGACAAACTGCATAGTTCAAGTTCAACCAAACTGAAAAAAAAAATCCAATTTCCTACTTTATACCAAAAAAGTCCACCCAAGCTGTCCAAGAAAAGAGGATTTGGGCAAAGATATTAAAAGGAGAAAAGTACAAAAGCTGGATAAAATATGCAGAGGAAAGTTATGCAAGCAAACAAGAGACTATCTTTTCATCATTTCCCATCAGGTTAGCCCTTTCAGAATTGGGTACAGCACAAAACATGTTAAATATTTAATTTTACTAGAAGAGAGAGAGAGAGAAAAGAGGGGAAGTGTGGGCTTACTGTTTGGCTTTAGGCATAAGGGAAATACAGAAAATACAACTGCAATAAGACAGTAAGGCAAAGGCTAAAAGAAGCATTAATTCAGTGTTACTCAAATTGGGCAGAAGTACACAGCAGAATCAATCACTAAAACAGAAAAGTGCCAAAAAACTTTGCAAGTCTGCCCAGTAACTTGGTTCAAGAAGAGATGCCAAAGTTTGAACAAGTCTTAGGCGCAAAAGACCAAGAGGCTGAAAGACAAAAAGAAACAAATATAAAATTGCAACAACAACAAAAAAGGAAGATATACTGAGCTCTAGAAAACCTGATTGAGCCAATATACCAATATCACAAAAAATACAAACACACAACTCCAAACCTGAAACCAGTCCAGAACCCACTGCATAACCTCCAAACAATAAACCATTAAAACCTGTTCCAGCCTTACCAAAGCAAAAAGTTACAAAAACCTGAAACCTAACCAGTAAACATGTCAAGCCAAACCTAAAAACCAGTGATAACCATAACCTGTCAAAGCCAAGCTGAAACATAAACCGGCAATCAAACTCAAGCAATACATGGCCTAAAACCTTAACCATTCAAAGCCAAGTATATCACAAACACCTCCAGCCAAACCTGTCCAGTTCAAACTTTACCAAAGGCCTAAAAGATACAAAACCTGCAAATGGCCTAAAAACTCATTACCAGCTATAACCATAAGCCAGCATTAACCTACCAAATGCCTTAAACCACTGTCAAAGCCATTAAGACCTGTCCAGCTTCAAGCCTAACCAAATACTCAAGCATTCAAGGCCACCCATCAAAAAGGCCTCAGATATGTTCATCACTGGCCATTAAAAAGCATACAGTAGCAAAGCAAAAAGGAAGAAGAAGAAAGCTAGTCAAAACAAATGATTCAACAATAGCATATCCAGAAGCATACATGGACAAGCCATATCAACATTGACAAGCTCAGAATAAGCATACAGAGGGTCCAACATTCAAGAGCAACACAAAAGGAAACTCAAGCCCTCAAAACCCTAGGCTCATCATGGGGCAAGGGAGAAGTAAATAGGCAACGCGAAGGCATCAAGACAACAAAGAGGAAGTGAATATCAAAAAGGCCTCAGAAATCCTCATCACAGGAAAAATGTTCAAGACAAACATTCAAGGCGACAAGCATTAAAGGCAACAAAGGTAAGCTAACGAGGAGAAGAGAAAAAAAAGGTTTTCAGTTTGTCACAACTCATCATTAAACCCAATAAGCAAAGGAGAAAAGATACAGAAGTACCAAGTGTCTTCCAAAGCCAGCTTCATCGTGCAAGTCCTCCATCGCTGAGCCTCCTGAGCACCCTCCTCCTCTTCCTTCCCTCCATCCAGGTAGTTTTCCCTCCTCTCTTGATTCTACTATACGCCTCAAAACACAACAGCAATTTGGAGTAAGAATCCATAATCGAAAAAATCACGAACACGCAAAAAAAATCATAAAAAACCCTAACGAAATTAGGAGACGATTCGTACCTTAGACCGATCGCCATGATAATGTCGTTGGGAGGAGAAAGAGGTGGAGGTCGCTGGTGGCTCTAGGAGGAGGCTTACGTTTCAGCATTCAGAACGAACGAAGATGAACGGAACTCCATGAACGCGTCGCTGCAAACCCTAAAACCTTGCCTCCAAATGAAAACATTCAACAACCCTAAAAATGTTCTGAGTTCAATGTGGGCCTTGCCCATTCTGCATGTCTAGAGCCCATTAAAATGCTTCTTCTTTTTTAACAAAACATTAATATTAACTTCTTTTTTTATATAAACAATATATTTATTTTCTAACTTAATATATTTTTTTAATAAAAATACACTCTTAATTAATATATATCATTTAATTAAAAATACATCTTTTCTTTAAGCATATAATTAAAACACTTTTCTATATACTTAATTCAATTAATTTGAAAACATTTTAATATATATATATTGAAATATTAAACACATAAATAATAAAATACATTTTATTGCATCATAATAAATATTGAAATTAGTTGTCATTTAATTTGTTTATAATGAATATTGAAAATACCTTTTTCTTTTAAATATTCTTTTTGTACATAACAAATGAAAAATACTCTTTTTTTATATACATAACTAACACCTAGAAATATTTTCTTAAAACATCATTTTCATAATTTAATTAAAACTTGAACATACAATTAAAACACTTTCTTTTGTGCATACTAAAAGAAATACCAGATCAATAATTAAATAAACGCTTAATTATTCTTTAGGTTAAATAAATACCCTAATATACATTAATTTCACATTATCGCACATGTAAATAATTACATACATATACACACGTACACCTACACAATATACTGGCATTTTGATACATTATACATTTGCTTATGGTGACATTCGTTACATTTACACTTGATTGGTTCGATTTGGTTAATTTATTGGACCCTATGATCCTAAGTCTCATCCCCATTCATAAATTTGTACCCCCACTCCCCGATACTAATCTTGTAATAGCGTAGATTTTACATTTCCGCAATTTACAGTTTTCCAATTATACCATGGTTAGACCTAGGGTTTGCATGTACATAAAATCAAACGCTAGATAACCTAATACAAGACAAATACATGAAATCAATGCACAATCACACTTGCACCCCCTAGGGTAATCCCACATGTTGCCTTCCAAAATGGGCCATGTTTGCACGTCGAGTATCTTCGGCAAAACAAATTCAAATGATCATAAGTCCCTCGATGACGCTTTCGATCGTTGCTTAAACGGAATGATCATAGTCCCTTCAAAGCAAATTGCCAAAGACACTTGGCACCATTGCATTCATGGTCCATACGACGACCCGCGCCCATCCCGAATAAACTTCCTAAAATGCAAGATTGTCCATCA